GTTCAAGTGGCGGTCTCCGAAACTCAGAGAACAAGATTCTGGTTCCACTGAGCCATTGGGAAACTGATGGGGGGAGCTACATGGGACCCAGCACAAAGGGCTCCACCAGTGAGGCAAAAGATCTCTGAAACAGAACCCTCTCAAGGGCCAAGTGCTAGTCCAGATGCAGAAAGGAGAAGATATGTCCTACACAGAAACCCCTAGGGTGGCAGCCCCAAGACTCACCCCAAGTGAAGAATGCCTTCCATGTCTGATGATAGACCTAGCGGGAAACAGACTTCCAGCTTTGAGCATCATAGGAATCACAAGAATCACTGTCCCTTAAAACTTGGACTTCAGCAGCCGCGCCTTTAACGCCAGCGACCAAGAAGCAGGATGGCAAATCAGTCTGCAGAACAGACTAATGATCTGGCAGCGCCCATAGAGCATCAGCCAGAAGTCTTGCCAGGTCAGTGTATCACATCAGGAGCAATGTGGTTTACCAGAATCCTCTCTATCCTGCAGAGGAGACAAGGAAGACCTTTTAGGGGAGGAAATGCATAGATCACACCGAGCTCAAAGTATAGATATTGCTCTGACTGCCATCTGCTGGTGGATGTGAAGCATTACAACAGCGGAGGAAAAATAAACCTATCGGTTGGGTTCATCTCACACTCAATCGGATGAAATTTCTCATCCTCTGATTGGTGCTTGGCACAGAATAGTGCACATTGCATCAACTGAAATGGTTTACTTTCATTTGGGAGTAATAGCAGTAGGTTGCGGCGAATCCTCCATCTCTGTTGCAGAAGGCTTGGTAGCCGCTAGGCCTGCGGGCAAATCAGCTAAACGGCACAGGAGCGCTCAGGCAATGCCAGGGGCACCAAATCTAGAAAGCGCCTCATGTGCTCGAAGGTCACCAACCGGCTATCCCTGCAATGCCCATTCTAGAAGCAGTGCTGGCGGAGGACGACTGATCCAGAAAGCTGCAATCTCAGATAAAGCTTCAGCAGTGATATAGAGAAGAGTCTAGACTGAAGAAAAAAGAAATGAAAGAATAAGGTGCTAGTAGGTTAGTCTTTAAAGGGTGAACATCCTCCTCTGAGGCCTGCTGGTAGGGGAAGGGGTAAGCCTGGTCTGGCCCACATTTTTTTTCTTGTTTACAGTGTCCAAACTCCCTGTAGGCAGCAGTATAACCCAAAAGGTTAAAGACTTCCTGTGCTGCTCAATGGACAGGAAAGAAAAATGATTAAAAAGGTACTTGAAACAGAATCTTCAGCATTCACCACACCTGGTGTGTCAGGTACCCCCCGCTGCACTCTAATGTTCCACTGACTGCTTGTTCACGTGACAAGGTACTGACATAGGAGCTGTTGGATGGAACCACTGCACAAAGGGGGACCAGGCATCAATACATCCAGAAGTGTGTTGGGTGCTGAAGATTCTTTGCCCGCCAAACCAAAACCATATTAAATATAGATGTACTTGTGTGGCCTTCATATATATTTCACCAACCCCCACCTCATTTTAGATCTTCAGTCTTCCATTTACTTCCCTCATTGGGGGGCCCTGGTAATATTTAAAGGGATACTAGAAGGCTTCCTATGACACAGCTACTGTTGTGTTTGAAGAATTCTACAGGCAAAAAGTATGAGCCTTCAGGCAATCTGGACTGGCTGAGATTTAGAACCCTCGGAGGATCGCAAATTCACATTTGTGGGCTTTTTACTACTTAACAGCATTATGTTCATTACTAAATCACTGCTGCACTTCAGGACACCTCCATAAATGAAGCCCAGAGCGGGGCCACAACTAGGGTCTGTGTTGATGGGCTTTTGTTCGCGTCAAGAGGGTTTTGCATTTTCTAAGACTAAGAGAATGCAAAACCTGCTTAAAGTTGAATGCAGGTCAGGAGATGGCCAGCCGCAGGTCAGGAGATGGCCAGCCGCAGGTCAGGAGATGGCCAGGCGCAGGTCACAAGGAGGCCAGGCGCAGGTCACAAGGAGGCCAGGCGCAGGTCACAAGGAGGCCAGGCGCAGGTCACAAGGAGGCCAGGCGCAGGACAAATGCACCTCTCAATCTTAGAAGCATCTCCAGTGGTCATCAACTGAAGCCCAAAGCCTGTTGACATAACCCCTTCCTTGTGCTGCTTCTGTAGCCAACAGATGACATCATTTGGCCCAGATCCAACCACACAGATATTATATCCCATTCACACCGACATCAGCCTTTTCATCTGCAAGAACCAACACTGCCGCTCACAGGAACATGTGAATCTGCATACAAATCACACTGTTAAAAATCAGAAGTTTAATAAAGTTTTCTTTACGCACCGTCTCCGTGCACATTATAAACTCTTTTTTACAAGTATATTAAGACATTTAAAAAAAAAATATGCAAAAGTTCAAAACCTAATTTTGATACGCAGGAGGGGGTGGGGTGGGGGTGAAGAGGTGGATTCTGAAAATGTAAGTAAGAAGGAACTGTGGCCCCTGATTACCGGATTGCACCGGGGAAAGGTGACAAGGTTGAATTTAGTGATTGTGCCATGTTTGCTGTTTTAACTACGGATGCGCCGATGCAGAGTAGATTTTTTTTTTACAGTACTCGCCGATACAGAGTACTGTGGAAAGAACTCCGGCTTCACTTCCCTCGTGACAGTGCGAGGTAGCCTGGCTTCCTGACCAATCAGGAAGTCGGGTGGCACGTCATGAACTGCCGCTCGGCTTCCTGATTGGTCAGAAAGCCCGACTGCCTAGCAATATGTGAAGCCAGCTTCCTAGACAGTCAGGAACCCGTGAGGCATGTCATAACACATCTCTGGGCTTCCTGATTGGCTAGGAAGCTGGCTTTATGATGCAAGGCAATTGGTCAGGAAGCCAGGCTGCCTAGCAACAAGTAAAGCCAGTTTCCTAGCCAATCAGGAAACCGGGCGGCGGGTAATGGCTAGGAAGCCGGCTTCCCCTATTGCTAGGCAGTCTGGCTTCCTAGCCATAACCAGCCGTCCAGCAAGCCGGCTCCATGCTCCCTGCCGGTCAGAGGGAGATCTCCCTCAGACCGTAATTTCCAGGGGGGGGGACTGGAAGTATCGGAGAATTTGGGTGAGTACTCGCCCAAATACTTGGTATCGGCACTGATACTAGTATTGGAATCGGTGCACCTCTAGTTTTTACAAATAGTCCCCCGGCTATTGCGCGAGTTCTATTCCTGTAAAATCTTTTGTCGGAATCAATATCAGTCCACGGATCCAAGGAAAAAACTTGGATATATTGGTCGGAATTAAAGAGACATTGGCAGCTTGCCCATTCAGAGCAAAGTGACAGTGTTTATGGAAAGCCCAGACCAGACCATCTTATACTCACCTCCCCAGTGCTCCCTTGCTGCTACCAAAATACCTCGTGTTGGCTGGTGCTGAGAAGGAGCAGTGACTTCACCCCCTCCATCATGTGATAGGATTTTGGCGATCGGTTGCTAGGCCCAAGCACTGCATCAAGGAAGAAACTCACATGCTCCCCGATAGCAGCAAGCACCAAGTATTGTGCAATGGCAGTCACAGAAGAAGCTATTAGAGAGAGTAACAAAGTGATTGGAGGGGGACAATGTTAGCTTGCTGCAAATGGACAAGGTGACAGCGTCTCTTTAAAGCCGTTGCAGAACATGATCTGTATGACAACACCCTGAAATAAATGGCACCTGGTGAGTTCAAAGAAGCATCCATCTTGTACAATTACCCAACATGCCTTATGTCCCGGTGTCCCTTGTTTCTAGGAAGTCCTTAGTCTGCCCATAGACAGGAGATGTTGTTTGTGGCCTGTTCAGGTGACTATCTCATGTCTATGGGAGAGATGGACGCCTGCTGACAGAGGGATGGACTAATCACACAGGTTAGGAATTAGGGATGCACCGATACTAGTATCGATATCGGTGCCGATACCGAGTATTTGGGCGAGTACTCGTACTCGCCCAAATGCTCGATGCCTAGCACGAGTACTTCCTGTATCACTTGTGATGAGAGCATGGAGCCGACTTCCCGGCCAATCAGGAAGTCGGGCAGCGTGTAATGACGCGCTGCCCGGCTTCCTGATTGGTCAGGAAGCTGGCCGATCAGGAAGCCGGGCGCTGTGTAATGACGCAGCGCCCAGCATTCTGACTGGCCGGGAAGCTGGCTCCATGCTTGGAGCCGGCCTCCCGGCCATTCAGAAAGCAGGGCGTTGCGTCATTTCACGGCGCACGGCTTCCTGAATGGCCAGCCAGACGGCTCTGGCTGGGTACCGGAGGAAGGCCCCTGTTCTGGCTGGAGAGGCCCCGGGGGTGACAGGCTGGACATACCAAGGTAAGAGGGGACAGACTTTCTTGTTAATCAGGAAGCCAGGTGGCGAGTCTTTGCACGCCACCTGGCTTCATGAATTGGACTTCCGTTACTCGGTAATTGGCATCGGCGAGTACTGAAACCAAATTATCGGTACTCGTACTCGGTACATCCCTATTAGGAATTGTTATTAGGAATCACACAGGTTAGGAACTCATATTGCCACCTGCATGATAGGTGGCCCAGCAGTATCTGCCAGAGCAGAGCCAGGGGAGGAGTGCAAGAAGGCAGCTGGACTATGCCTGCATGCCCGACCACCTTCTGGGGTCTCTGGTCACCCTGAGTCTAGTTAGTGGTCCAGGTCGCACAGTGGCTGCCTCCCTCTACAATGTAAAGAACAGGTTTCCTGTTGACCTGTAAGATTATATTTAGCATATGTGTAACAATGGAAGGGAGTAATCCCGCACCAGGACTTCAATATCTCAACACTGTAAGACAGAGTTCTAGATCAGAAAAATCCTGCGCGATATCCTGCATAGCGTTCCTGCACCACGTTGGAATATTCAGACACAAGCAAACGGCGTTCCTGCACTGGATCTGAATATTCTAACAGCAGAAGAATCTGAACAATCACCTGGACTCCACAGGTAAACATTATTGGTAAGGAGTGCAGCAAGATACATCTGTATATAAGATCTGAACAATCGGACCCAAGCAGGTCCCTGCGCCAAATGTTACTATTCTAATATCTAAGTCCTTTAATGTCAGAAGTGTAAACCAAGAAGGGGATCTGACAGTAAAGGCCTTGCCGTAAATATCCTGGACACGCGCGAGCTTGAACGTTCTCCAGGAGGCTTCAAGTCTGGCAGTGCCACAAGTTCACAGAACCGGTAACGTCTGCTCCGAGGAAAGAAGATGAAAATAGATTTGGTTAGAACTAGGGAAAGGCTGCATCACGTCTGTGCCAGGCAGAGCTCTTCAAGGCCGTTTTTGCCAATCCGGTAGCGGGCGAGATCTTTCCTGGTGACCAAACCCACGACCTGCAGGTTAGAGAAAGACAATGAGTTGGCGGTTCTGGTTGGGTAGCAAAGAGTTGTATTTACTAAAACAAGTAGTAAAAAAGTACTCTCCACAAACAGCCCAATAAGGAGAACCAAGCAATTAGATATCGCCAAAAAGATTTGAGGACTTAGGCCCATGTCACTCTAGTGATGCTCTTCCTGGTGACAACCTGGCAGCAACTGGATTGCTAAGAAAGCAGAGAGGACTCGCCTATTCCTATGGCAGCACTGCCTCGCCGGTCAAACTCAACGATGATGCTTCCTTGCTGGAAAGCAAGATTTTGCAGCAGGTGCCGCAGAAGAACCAGATTAAAGTCAATCTTTTTTTTGCCCCTTCCCAATCCTGCTGTAGGGACTTAACTTAAATGATGCCTCTTGATGCTATCATCTTCTTTCCTGTCCTTTCCAGCTGTCCCTCCAGTGCTGGTGCGGGTCTCCGATCCAACGCTGACTCCTCTGTGTTAGCTTGCGCTTCCTGTCCCACGGTGTCTGTCCATAGGTGCACGCTGCTGGATAGACTTACCTTGTCTCTCATCGTCTCCCGGCCGAATATATGAACTGCGCATGCGCCCGCCCCAAGATCCTTTGCAGCCGCCCGAGACTCTTTAGATGTTTGGACGGGAGCGCGCGGGGAAGACACAGGTAAGTTTTAACCTGTTTGAAGGGGATTTACACTGAGATTAAATTATGACCACCCCATCAGTACTTAGTTGGGCCGCCTCGTGACTCCATCGAGATGATGAAAGGTGATGTGAGGAATCTGACACGGCACTGTTGCCCTTCTGTTGTCTTGTATGAGGGTTTATTAACCCTTTAAGTGATCTCTTTAGCGATCCTATGGCTGGTGAGTTGCTGTCTGCGTACAATACAAAATGTTTGCCCCAGCAAGCCAGTGAAGGCGTCTTGGTTGCCAATACTGAACTGGATTACAGCGGTCATTCTTACTGCGCAGATCGGAAATATTTCTGATTTACATGAACAACTTCTCCCATTTTCAGAAATGTCAGCAGTAATAATTAGAATATGTAGAAATAAAGCGGTGTACTTACTCTATTATGACTGTTTACCACAACCAGATGCCGCAGTCCGAGCGCACGGAACAGCTTAAACACTCGCGGTAATGATGCTTCCTGTGAATGACATACACACGATGATTGGCACATGTACACCGATTGTCATTAATACATTGCTGTGGGTGACACAGGTAGTAACTAGAGTTTGTTACAGGACAGCTCCATGCCAACCTGATATTTTAGGTTTATGTATTTCCTGCCTAGTTGAATCACACAATTGCTTCTTATTTGGTCAGGAGCTCCGCTGGCAGGATCTCCGTGCCAGAATTGTCATTTGCCTAGCTGCTTTGATCATCACAAAGATCAAACAATGGCGTCCTGTTCCCCACAGACTCTCCATAAAGATGAACAAACTATTTGGGAATCCAGCTGCATGAGAACTTCATTATAGCCTTGTGGGAGAAGGTGGACACACCAAATACTGCAGGTCAGAACTACTAGTGAAACCAATAATCCAACTGGTACCTACACAATGCTGACATTTCTTTTGGGTGGAATTGGCTCTTACAGGGCTTCCCCTTCAAATGCTGTCGTTATTAAGAGGTTGAACTGCTCAAAATTCATTTTTCAGGTTATGGCAAAGGCCATATAACTATTAAAGACCTCAGTGGAGATTCCTGGAGCTCAGCTCCCACCTTGGCAGATGTAAAGGCAGGGTGGGCGACGAGCCAGAAACAAACCAACCGGAGTCTACAATGGATAGATGTGGGCGGGAGATTCATGGCTTTGGGTGGACTGACCCTTTAAGGAAATGGGTGCTTTACCATTTGGGCAAGTCTATATGCTCAGTGAAGAGAAGGAAACTCATTTTACTAATAATGTTGATAAAAACTTCTTACCAAAGAGCTTTGAGCTTGCAAAGACTAGCCATGGACATACGATGGTGGTCAGAAGATGGGACTGTCGACCATTAGCTGAATGACTGTAGCAGAAAAGTGCACAGTTGTTTATGTCTGTGTGTAGTGGGCACATTTATGTCCAGTGCTTATAATCCTACAATCATCTCATACCTATGGGAAGCCGTATAATCTGCAAGAGGCCATTGACCTGCCCATGAAGGAGGCCCAGGCCCTCAAACAGATCGTATAAGAGGCCTGAGCCCTGACAAGAAAGCTTGATCATCACCCCCATTCAGGGTTCAGAAGAGAATAAGTCTGTACAAAAATAATACAAAAATGGACCCACCTGAGGCACCGTGTACGGAGTGGGGTTCATGAACTCCGAGAGATCCATCAGACACTCCTTCTCGTCCTGTGACACATGTATAGACTGGATAGGTGGGAAGCGGGGGTACGCATCTCGGAAATCTTTCAGCTTTAACCTCCTCAGATTCAAGCTCATGTTCTCCCTCTCTACAAACACCTATAGAGAAGACGATGGAGTAATGTCATTTAGCTTTCACAGGAGGAAAAAAAAAAAACCCCTACAAAACAACAAAAATTTGCAAAATGTATAACGAGCTAAAGGTGCGAATGTGAGAGGTAAATGAAACAAAGGGCTCATGCAGCCGTACCTTATGCTTGAGGAGAACGATCAGCTGGGATCTCAGGATCAGGCCACATAACCGAGGTGGCTGTAAACAAGGAGATAAGAAGCAGGTAAGAAATATTATGTTTTCATTATTTTTTCGTATGCGGAGTGAATATAAACACACAAACATATAGAGGGGTTGTCTTAATTTGGACTGCAAATATGGAAATACACTTTAAAATGAACGTTAGCAGTGTGTATGTTTCAAACCAACAACCGCATATGACTGCAGGGGCCACAAGGTGGCAGTACACACTGCTGACTTCAGAAGATCTCGCCACTGTGTGCCCAGGGAGCCCCTCCATTCGCACACTACACACACACTGCTCCAGTCGGAGTTCACGTCTTTTATTCCTGATATAGTAGACATGTCAGCACTAGGATCTCTGCGTTTGGCTCTGTCCTCACCTCTCCTGAATCATTTTCTACAACTGGGAATCCATTGTGGTTTGTGGTAGTGTTGCTCAGGAGGTCCACGATGATGCCCACTTTCTCTTTCCGGCGCAGGCAGGTGACCGGTGTGCTCATCACCTCCCTCAAATAAGAAAGAAACACAGAAAATGAGAACAGTGACACCAAACAGGAAGCAGAAGCTGTCAGGTTGTCCTAGCTCATCTATCACCCCTCATATTGTCCTAGCTCATCTATCACCCCTCATCGTGTCCTAGCTCATCTATCACCCCTCATCGTGTCCTAGCTCATCTATCACCCCTCATCGTGTCCTAGCTCATCTATCACCCCTCATCGTGTCCTAGCTCATCTATCACCCCTCATCGTGTCCTAGCTCATCTATCACCCCTCATCGTGTCCTAGCTCATCTATCACCCCTCATCGTGTCCTAGCTCATCTATCACCCCTCATCGTGTCCTAGCTCATCTATCACCCCTCATCGTGTCCTAGCTCATCTATCACCCCTCATCGTGTCCTAGCTCATCTATCACCCCTCATCGTGTCCTAGCTCATCTATCACCCCTCATCGTGTCCTAGCTCATCTATCACCCCTCATCGTGTCCTAGCTCATCTATCACCCCTCATCGTGTCCTAGCTCATCTATCACCCCTCATCGTGTCCTAGCTCATCTATCACCCCTCATCGTGTCCTAGCTCATCTATCACCCCTCATCGTGTCCTAGCTCATCTATCACCCCTCATCGTGTCCTAGCTCATCTATCACCCCTCATCGTGTCCTAGCTCATCTATCACCCCTCATCGTGTCCTAGCTCATCTATCACCCCTCATCGTGTCCTAGCTCATCTATCACCCCTCATCGTGTCCTAGCTCATCTATCACCCCTCATCGTGTCCTAGCTCATCTATCACCCCTCATCGTGTCCTAGCTCATCTATCACCCCTCATCGTGTCCTAGCTCATCTATCACCCCTCATCGTGTCCTAGCTCATCTATCACCCCTCATCGTGTCCTAGCTCATCTATCACCCCTCATCGTGTCCTAGCTCATCTATCACCCCTCATCGTGTCCTAGCTCATCTATCACCCCTCATCGTGTCCTAGCTCATCTATCACCCCTCATCGTGTCCTAGCTCATCTATCACCCCTCATCGTGTCCTAGCTCATCTATCACCCCTCATCGTGTCCTAGCTCATCTATCACCCCTCATCGTGTCCTAGCTCATCTATCACCCCTCATCGTGTCCTAGCTCATCTATCACCCCTCATCGTGTCCTAGCTCATCTATCACCCCTCATCGTGTCCTAGCTCATCTATCACCCCTCATCGTGTCCTAGCTCATCTATCACCCCTCATCGTGTCCTAGCTCATCTATCACCCCTCATCGTGTCCTAGCTCATCTATCACCCCTCATCGTGTCCTAGCTCATCTATCACCCCTCATCGTGTCCTAGCTCATCTATCACCCCTCATCGTGTCCTAGCTCATCTATCACCCCTCATCGTGTCCTAGCTCATCTATCACCCCTCATCGTGTCCTAGCTCATCTATCACCCCTCATCGTGTCCTAGCTCATCTATCACCCCTCATCGTGTCCTAGCTCATCTATCACCCCTCATCGTGTCCTAGCTCATCTATCACCCCTCATCGTGTCCTAGCTCATCTATCACCCCTCATCGTGTCCTAGCTCATCTATCACCCCTCATCGTGTCCTAGCTCATCTATCACCCCTCATCGTGTCCTAGCTCATCTATCACCCCTCATCGTGTCCTAGCTCATCTATCACCCCTCATCGTGTCCTAGCTCATCTATCACCCCTCATCGTGTCCTAGCTCATCTATCACCCCTCATAGTGTCCTAGCTCATCTATCACCCCTCATATTCTCCTAGCTCATCTATCACCCCTTATAGTGTCCTAGCTCATCTATCACCCCTCATAGTGTCCTAGCTCATCTATCACCCCGCATAATGTCCTAGCTCATCTATCACCCCGCATAATGTCCTAGCTCATCTATCACCCCGCATAATGTCCTAGCTCATCTATCACCCCGCATAATGTCCTAGCTCATCTATCACCCCGCATAATGTCCTAGCTCATCTATCACCCCGCATAATGTCCTAGCTCATCTATCACCCCGCATAATGTCCTAGCTCATCTATCACCCCGCATAATGTCCTAGCTCATCTATCACCCCGCATAATGTCCTAGCTCATCTATCACCCCGCATAATGTCCTAGCTCATCTATCACCCCGCATAATGTCCTAGCTCATCTATCACCCCGCATAATGTCCTAGCTCATCTATCACCCCGCATAATGTCCTAGCTCATCTATCACCCCGCATAATGTCCTAGCTCATCTATCACCCCGCATAATGTCCTAGCTCATCTATCACCCCGCATAATGTCCTAGCTCATCTATCACCCCGCATAATGTCCTAGCTCATCTATCACCCCGCATAATGTCCTAGCTCATCTATCACCCCGCATAATGTCCTAGCTCATCTATCACCCCGCATAATGTCCTAGCTCATCTATCACCCCGCATAATGTCCTAGCTCATCTATCACCCCGCATAATGTCCTAGCTCATCTATCACCCCGCATAATGTCCTAGCTCATCTATCACCCCGCATAATGTCCTAGCTCATCTATCACCCCGCATAATGTCCTAGCTCATCTATCACCCCGCATAATGTCCTAGCTCATCTATCACCCCGCATAATGTCCTAGCTCATCTATCACCCCGCATAATGTCCTAGCTCATCTATCACCCCGCATAATGTCCTAGCTCATCTATCACCCCGCATAATGTCCTAGCTCATCTATCACCCCGCATAATGTCCTAGCTCATCTATCACCCCGCATAATGTCCTAGCTCATCTATCACCCCGCATAATGTCCTAGCTCATCTATCACCCCGCATAATGTCCTAGCTCATCTATCACCCCGCATAATGTCCTAGCTCATCTATCACCCCGCATAATGTCCTAGCTCATCTATCACCCCGCATAATGTCCTAGCTCATCTATCACCCCGCATAATGTCCTAGCTCATCTATCACCCCGCATAATGTCCTAGCTCATCTATCACCCCGCATAATGTCCTAGCTCATCTATCACCCCGCATAATGTCCTAGCTCATCTATCACCCCGCATAATGTCCTAGCTCATCTATCACCCCGCATAATGTCCTAGCTCATCTATCACCCCGCATAATGTCCTAGCTCATCTATCACCCCGCATAATGTCCTAGCTCATCTATCACCCCGCATAATGTCCTAGCTCATCTATCACCCCGCATAATGTCCTAGCTCATCTATCACCCCGCATAATGTCCTAGCTCATCTATCACCCCGCATAATGTCCTAGCTCATCTATCACCCCGCATAATGTCCTAGCTCATCTATCACCCCGCATAATGTCCTAGCTCATCTATCACCCCGCATAATGTCCTAGCTCATCTATCACCCCGCATAATGTCCTAGCTCATCTATCACCCCGCATAATGTCCTAGCTCATCTATCACCCCGCATAATGTCCTAGCTCATCTATCACCCCGCATAATGTCCTAGCTCATCTATCACCCCGCATAATGTCCTAGCTCATCTATCACCCCGCATAATGTCCTAGCTCATCTATCACCCCGCATAATGTCCTAGCTCATCTATCACCCCGCATAATGTCCTAGCTCATCTATCACCCCGCATAATGTCCTAGCTCATCTATCACCCCGCATAATGTCCTAGCTCATCTATCACCCCGCATAATGTCCTAGCTCATCTATCACCCCGCATAATGTCCTAGCTCATCTATCACCCCGCATAATGTCCTAGCTCATCTATCACCCCGCATAATGTCCTAGCTCATCTATCACCCCGCATAATGTCCTAGCTCATCTATCACCCCGCATAATGTCCTAGCTCATCTATCACCCCGCATAATGTCCTAGCTCATCTATCACCCCGCATAATGTCCTAGCTCATCTATCACCCCTTATAGTGTCCTAGCTCATCTATAACCCCTCATAGTGTCCTAGCTCATCTATAACCCCCCATAGTGTCTTAGCTCATCTATCACCCCTCATAGTGTCCTAGCTCATCTATCACCCCTCATATTGTCCTAGCTCATCTATAACCCCTCATAGTGTCCTAGCTCATCTATCACCCCTCATAGTGTCCTAGCTCATCTATCACCCCTCATATTGTCCTAGCTCATCTATCACCCCTCATAGTGTCCTAGCTCATCTATCACCCCCTCCATGTTGTTTTAGCTCATCTATAACACCTCATATTGTCCTCAACACAAGACAGTCTTGCTGGCAGCTCTCTTACAAAGTGTATTCTTGGAGCATGAAAGGTTACAAATTAATTATCAGCTCCACTTGGAATATTCATGTAAAACCAATTTATTTTAGATCAAGCGTAAATAAACTTCACCAGGAAGAGGAGTCGGCAGATTTCCTCACATTGCACACTGTACAAAGCCCCATTCTATCATTTGTTATGGAGAATGTAATGCTTAAACTGGGCAGAACCAGCTGTACAACATCAGCTACATTCCAGAGGAAGGCAAATATTCCGATAACCGCACCACAAACTGCTGGAACAGAAGCAGTTTTCTGTGAATTACAATCTGTGATAAGATGACACAAGTGGCAAGCTTCAAAACTCTTCAAAGACAATTTGCGGGATTTGCAACCTCTTTTTTTTTTTTAACTTCATTTATTGTTTCTATTTTGATCTCACCTCGTTACATAGTATTACGTTTTTACAGAGTGATAAATTAGGACGGCCATAAACAGCTTGACGATAACAACCAAAACTCTCCATTGTGTGGTAGTTGGCCTGTTTTTTGTACTCAGAGGCACCTGTTCTATTAGAAGCCCATTTGGAAAATCTCACTTACAGCTGACCTGATCCTTCTCTGCGCTGGAGCAGAATTGTGGACCAAAGTACCCAACATGCACCTCGTCACCGCTGGACCAGTATCGCATCAAGTCCTGCCACTTCACAGACTTGCAAAACGATTGCCGGATCTAACGCCACCTATCATTTTTAGGGAAATGTCCGTCTATCTTATAGCAGACTTTCCATCTCTTTTTACATTTTGGAAATATTTTTTTCTCTTGTTCTGTTCCCCTGACTTCCATATGCCTAGGCGAGAATGATGTAGGCTGCACTAGCCGCAGGGCCTGGGATACAAACGTCATATATCCCAGAAGTCTTCAGGCAACACTGCGTCCTTGCAATATTTCCTTCTTGACCTGGTGGCATTGGCAACACTATGGCAACATGTAAATATGATAACATTCCTTGGCTACAGCACCACCAATGCCGCATAAGGCGTACACAGCACTCTACGCGGGGAATTATGTTATTTACATGTTGCCACAGTATCAGTGACATGTAAAAACATACGATTCCCTGGCTAGAGCGCTGGGTGCACATGTGGGGGTGGCGCATCATCAATGAGGCCAGCTTAGAAAACACGGAAGAAGTCAGATCACCAGAAGATGCTGATGCGGAATTGATGAGGAAGTTGAAAGTTTACCGGAATGCAAGATAACGCTTGCCTGCATGGAATTGTAAGTACATAAGTGTCATGTGATAACATTTCTAAAATTTACAGGTACTGGTGAAGCTTCTCTTTAACCCACCGAGTGCTAAAATTGATGTTCCCGTAATAACTACAATCTCCATACAAATGAGTAAACTAAACATGAGACTGTAGTCCATCACGGGAGTGAGCTTGGAGCGGTGACTACTTTACAACACACACAGGGACCATGGGGAAGAAAAGTAGCCCCCCTCCAGAAGGAAGGACGGTGTCAGCACCAATTCAGAGATGATTGGAGGATCTACAGCTGAGTGATACACAAATAAGATACATTGTTGTTAATAGTTAAGATATTTGAATGCATTTTTAAGATTTAACTCCTGAGATTAGCGTCACTTTAATTTATTCAACAGACTTACCTGGCGGTGAGAGAATGGGACGTGACCGGAGCTTCCCAGTGCAAGAACGGGACACTCTGCAGCTTGATGTGAAGATCATACAGACCCTGAAAAACAGGACCACACAGAGATCACCGATATCTCTCATATCTTGTCAACACATCGCATGACATACAAGGGTCAAGAGTACCTGTTGACAACCTTGAAAGTAGGTGAGCAGTAGTCTCACTCACCTCAATAAAGAAATCTCCGACTATTTTTGCCGTTATGAGGACAAGCATGATGGGAAAACCATAGGTGACATTTCCCGTGGCTTCGACCATGATGACTGTTAGGCTCAGGGTCATCCGTACTATGCCGCCTGTGGAGGAAAAGACGACACGGGAATTATACTAAAACATGACACTCAATACAGAAATCTGCACAAATACCCAACAACACCTACACACCCTAACCTCTATCATTGCATATGATAAAATAACATGTTATTCTTCCGTCCCACCCAATGATTCAGATGAGAATAGCAGTGCTAGATTTTAAAGCCAAGCATGAGGCAGATGCAAAAGATAAACATTAATGCAGCTGCTGTATTAAAAATACACTTAATGATGTATTAATAAATAAAATATTGCAAATACCAGAACTGAATGTGATATCTGTCTTTTTGCAATCCCTGTACTAGGTATGCAGCGATACCAAGTACCGTGCTCGGTACAAGTACAAGTACAGATACTTTTCCAGCTCCAAGACTGGACTAGAGAAAAATTCAAAAGTTAGGAGACAGCTGTCATTTGTAAGGAGCACACGGAGCTCCTGGGATTTGAACATCTCTGTTTTAATGTATGACTTTGTTTTTATAAACCTATATACCGTATTTTGCGGTCCATAAGACGCACCGGACCATAGGACGCAGGGAGGTCCGGCGCGCCTTATGGAGCACTCGAGACTGTAGCTTCTGCGACAGCTTCTATGACAGAAGCTGTGACAGAAGCTGCAGTTAGTGACCGCTGAGACAGGTGGCGCTGTGATTACAGCGCCACGGTCTCAGTGATGACACAGAGCAGGCGAAGAACGTCTATTCTTCGTCTGCTCTATGGTTATCTCGATCGTCGCCGCTGCTCGGTTTTAATACGAGTGATCTCATTAGATCACTCGTATTAAACGAGCAGTGGCTCCTGCTGCTGAACTCGATCGCCGCCGCCGCTGCTCGGCTTTAATACGAGTGATCTCGTTAGATCACTCGTATTAAACGAGCAGTGGCTCCTACTACTCGCCCGGCGCCCGAAACTGCATGTCTCGGGCGTCGGGATTCGCTCCATAAGACGCAGGCACTTTTTCCCCCTCCTTTTGGGGGGAAAAAAGTGTGTCTTATGGAGCGAAAAATACGGAAAGTAGTGCACCAATACCATTTTTGCAAGTACAAGTCCTGATACTTGCCCAAGTACTCACAGACACAAGTACTGATACATTTTTGTTTGTCACATGACAGTTTTTCTAAAAACAATACAGACTAATGATTTCTGGACAGTGGTGGAGCGCCAGAGCCCGGTCCCAGCTGCAACCCTGGGAGTTCTCATGAAAATGCCAAGTATCGGCATTGGTATCTGAACTGGTATCGGTGCATCCCTACCCTGTACCATAAAGTTCAGACTGGGGGAGGAAGAAGCAGCACAAGGAGCCAATCAGTAATGCTGTAGTGCTAACAAGAAACATGTTGATAGGAAGAGGGAGCAGAACAGAGAGAAGAGTTCATCAGTCTGCTGATGCTCCATTCACTGTCCAGTCACAGGCTGGGGGAGGGACAAGACCTGTAAATGTCAACTGAAATGCAGCAGAGAAAAATCAGGTCTACTGCCACTCTCGTCAGGTATGTGCTGTGTTGCAGAGCTGCTTAAAGTTATTGCTGTAAAATAATTTTTAGCCTTACACATTACGTACTCACCTAGCTGTGCTGCTGCACCCATCAGAGCGTATTTCCCAGGATCGGCCCATAACTGTACGAGACAAAAAAATTAAACCAAAGACTGTCATAGAGTTCCAGTTCTTCTGCCATTTACAAAGTTTAAATCTGACCTCTTGTGTGCAGCCACTCCTCGTTCTTAGCATAGAGAACAGAATACAGAATTAGGAAAGAATAAACTGTTTCTAACATGCAGAAGGCCCGTTTCCCGTTCTTTCCTGTATAGGCAATGATCACAGGTGGTGTATGCACAAAGGATGGCAGGATGGCATATCAGCTGTTACCGTATTTTGCGGTCCATAAGACGCACCGGACCATAGGACGCAGGGAGGTCCGGCGCGCCTTATGGAGCACTCGAGACTGTAGCTTCTGCGACAGCTTCTATGACAGAAGCTGTGACAGAAGCTGCAGTTAGTGACCGCTGAGACAGGTGGCGCTGTGATTACAGCGCCACGGTCTCAGTGATGACACAGAGCAGGCGAAGAACGTCTATTCTTCGTCTGCTCTATGGTTATCTCGATCGTCGCCGCTGCTCGGTTTTAATACGAGTGATCTCATTAGATCACTCGTATTAAACGAGCAGTGGCTCCTGCTGCTGAACTCGATCGCCGCCGCCGCTGCTCGGCTTTAATACGAGTGATCTCGTTAGATCACTCGTATTAAACGAGCAGTGGCTCCTACTACTCGCCCGGCGCCCGAAACTGCATGTCTCGGGCGTCGGGATTCGCTCCATAAGACGCAGGCACTTTTTCCCCCTCCTTTTGGGGGGAAAAAAGTGTGTCTTATGGAGCGAAAAATACGGAAAGTAGTGCACCAATACCATTTTTGCAAGTACAAGTCCTGATACTTGCCCAAGTACTCACAGACACAAGTACTGATACATTTTTGTTTGTCACATGACAGTTTTTCTAAAAACAATACAGACTAATGATTTCTGGACAGTGGTGGAGCGCCAGAGCCCGGTCCCAGCTGCAACCCTGGGAGTTCTCATGAAAATGCCAAGTATCGGCATTGGTATCTGAACTGGTATCGGTGCATCCCTACCCTGTACCATAAAGTTCAGACTGGGGGAGGAAGAAGCAGCACAAGGAGCCAATCAGTAATGCTGTAGTGCTAACAAGAAACATGTTGATAGGAAGAGGGAGCAGAACAGAGAGAAGAGTTCATCAGTCTGCTGATGCTCCATTCACTGTCCAGTCACAGGCTGGGGGAGGGACAAGACCTGTAAATGTCAACTGAAATGCAGCAGAGAAAAATCAGGTCTACTGCCACTCTCGTCAGGTATGTGCTGTGTTGCAGAGCTGCTTAAAGTTATTGCTGTAAAATAATTTTTAGCCTTACACATTACGTACTCACCTAGCTGTGCTGCTGCACCCATCAGAGCGTATTTCCCAGGATCGGCCCATAACTGTACGAGACAAAAAAATTAAACCAAAGACTGTCATAGAGTTCCAGTTCTTCTGCCATTTACAAAGTTTAAATCTGACCTCTTGTGTGCAGCCACTCCTCGTTCTTAGCATAGAGAACAGAATACAGAATTAGGAAAGAATAAACTGTTTCTAACATGCAGAAGGCCCGTTTCCCGTTCTTTCCTGTATAGGCAATGATCACAGGTGGTGTATGCACAAAGGATGGCAGGATGGCATATCAGCTGAATTCCCAAAGAAAGCAAATCCCACTTTTTTTATTTCAATGGTGTGAGCGCTTTCATAACAGACGTTGCATCCACTTCCTGCAGCCTCCTCACGGAATTTGGAAGACCAAACTTCAGATTTAGGCAAAGAGAAGCTTTCACTGTCCAGTATATATGGATTGGTCTTCTGGAAAACCTACAAACTCTGAAACAGTATGGACCGAGCTGAAGCTGGAGATGGGCAGGGCTTTGAAAATGCCTTAATTGCAAGGCCCTCAACAATTGCATAGCATTCCAGGGAAATGCACACACGGTGCCCCTCCTTGACAGCCTTCGCAGTGAATACTTTATCCTAAAAGCCTGGATTAAAAGTGCTGGCAGTAAGGAACTTACTGTAATAGAAACCAGGCACATCAAAAGGCTTGGCTATGCGACGGTCACCTTAAAGGAGAACTATGGGGTTAGGGCTTTTCCCCATAGTTCTCCCAAGGGAAACGGGAGGACACAAACTAACATTCTCCCGTGACCCAAAGCTCAGTATACCGCGAGCTACAGCTTGCGGTATACTGAGACGCCGCAGCCAGAACGGATCCCAACATTGATGTCAAGATCCACCCAGCTGTGGGATTGACAGCTGGCTCTGCCTATACAGAGGCAGGGAGCCATGAGTGACAGTCACAGCGAGCGCCGGTATGTGTTCGCTCACTTCTCGATCTACTGAGCCGACCTGTGACAGTCTACTGACCCGACCTGTGACAGTTTCATTGTCACAGATCGGCTCAGATTATGAGGCTGAGTGAAAATCACTCACCTCAATACTCCTTTAATGTCCCCCTGCAGTTCTGTGAAGGGACCGTTAAGGTCACTGCATTACGCTGCTTGCAGCTAGAAGTTACCATCGAAGCCACAGGTAGTATTTTCGTTGACTCTTCCCACTTCACTGACATCCCTCTATATTACAAGAGTATAAACAATGATATGGGAATTCTTCCCCTCCCTGTCCCAACCCACAAACCCATGAAGAAATACACATAAGGTACACTGCAGACTTCTCACGTCGGCCGCTGACATTAGACGTGGACTAAGTTTGGCACCAGTTTTGAAAACGTTTTTCCCGTTTCGACCACTAGAGGGGGATATTACAAAAGCAGCCAACAGTATACTGGTCACAGTTCACTGCACGGGCCATTGACTTTCACTGTACCTGTCCTGGAAAACATCCTCCGTAGGTGCTAGAGAAATGCATACAATTCAATTCATTTGATTTATTTTGGAAAATGTATTTAAATTTTCCATTGTTTTTCCCCCTTACCGTTTTTGGCAACGGTTAGTCATCAACAATGTCCTTTACATCAGTGGTCCCCAACCCCCGGTCCGCGGATCAAATGGTACCGGGCCGCACAGTCTCAGTGCGGTCCGGTCCTGCAATATGGGGCAGTGCAGGGTCCCGGTGTTCGAACACCGGGGCCCCGCACTGCCGACGGGCTTCACAGTGAGGGGGCGGGTCCTGTGACTCACCTCCCCTCCCGGCCGCGTCCATAGTAACAGGAGGCGGTAAATGCTGCATGCACTATTTTGTGCAGATTGTACTGGACCAGAACGCGGGCACTAATGTGTCACACGTGTGGGTGCGGCGTAATAATGATATATTTATATATTATAAAATATAAACAATCAACGCCCCCCCCCTCAGCGGGCCACGGTAAAATTATTAAACGTTGACCGGTCCGCGGCGATAAAAAGGTTGGGGAGCACTGCTTTACATGAACAGACGATCAGTGTCGGAAAACCGAAAGCAAAAAGGGCAAAGCGTTCCGCCTCTCCAGCAGCACAGGTTGCAGGATTTTACCTTTTTTGCACAACCCCCCCACTCCTGAAGTGCTTAAAGGAGAACTATGAGGCGAGTGAAAATCGAGGCGAGTGAAAATCGAGCCGACGTGCGACAATGAAACTGTCACAGGTCGGTTCAATAGATCGGGAAGTGAGCGAACACATACCGGCGCTCGCTCACTTCTCGATCTATCCCGGCAGAGAGCAGTGACTGTCACTCACGGCTCCCTGCAGGGATTCCCCTTCCCCTGTCTAATCCTCCAGCGCTGACTGGCGGAACGGACGGGGGCGGGCACAGCTGGCTCTGCCTCTAGATAGGCAGAGCCAGCTGTCAATCACACAGTGGGTGGATCTCGACAGTAATGTCGGGATCCGTCACAGCTGCGGCGTCTCAGTATACCGCGAGCTGTATACTGAGCTTCGGGTGACGGGAGGACGCTAGTTTGTGTCCTCCCGTTACCCTTAGGAGAACTATGGGGAAAATCCCTGACCCCATAGTTCTCCTTTAAGGCGGCCCACCCTCTTCTGCCTACCCCTCGTTTACATGTTATTTGCGCCATCTTTTTCTATGTTTGCACTTTCATTAGCTTTGTGTCACGCTGGCTGATAATGTGCAATAGCAACTGTCAATCTTTTTATCAGCTAAAGTCCTGTGCAGCTAATTTGAGGAAGTTCTTTACACCCATAAATGTGTAGACAGGGTCATACATCGCATCCTAGAACTCTCACCCGAGCATGCTGACAGCTAGCAGGCAATTCTGGGATTTCCCACCCAACATGTGTAGGATAAAGTGTTTTATTTGCATTACATAGGACAGCAACAAGCCAAAAAGGTGAAATGGACTCTGCACCTAAGAAACAAAAACCTGAACTTCCCCAAAAAAGACTTACAATAGTGTCGGTGGAGAGTTTGGTGATCAGGATTCCAAAGAGGCGTCCCCACGCGGCTCCGAGAAGGAGAGACGGGATGAAGATGCCTGCAGACACCGTCAAGCCGTACGTCCAGCAGGCCAGGAAGAAATACAGCAACGTGAACAGGCCCAACGTCTGGGGGTTAAAAGAACCTGAGGGGGGTATAAGCAATTTATTAAAGAATAACTCTGGACAAACATGAAGAATTAGCTATCTGACAGGTAAAACAGTTTACATACATGTACTTCAAAAAATGTATTTAGTGGTTTCATCAGAAGTCTGCTTTAAGGGTCTGAAGCGTTCAGCGGCACTTCCTCTTCTTTCTTCCATATTCCTTCAGGCAAACCTTTAGGGGCACACTCTGCTAAAATGTCAGCTCCCACTGCAAAAACTACATGACCAATTCCTTAATGCTGCTCTCATGAATGGACACCTGTGGGATGTAGGACTGCTGAAGATCATTGGGGGGGGGGGGGGGGGGCGGAGCACGGGGTCGGC